TTGGTGAAGGCATGACGCTGAAGGTGTTCATGATGCGGTCGGGATACTCCTCTCGGATCTTACTGATCAGAAGCGTCCCCATTCCGGATCCGGTTCCTCCGCCGAGGGAGTGTGTGAGCTGGAAGCCTTGCAGGCAGTCGCAATGCTCACACTCCTTTCGGACCACATCCAGGACCGAGTCCACGAGCTCGGCTCCTTCCGTGTAGTGGCCCTTGGCCCAGTTGTTTCCGGCACCTGTCTGTCCTGCAAAAGCGATACAATAAGGGAAGATTGGTTGGGAACATTTTATTTCAAAAGTCCACTTTAGACTTTCTACTAACTCTTAAGTAACTTTGCAACTACGTCAACTAACTGTCAAGAGATATTAGTCGACTGTATGCTTAATATCTAATAACACTTTATTTTCATGGTCAAGTCAAGTCATCTTCATTTATATAGCGCTTTTAACAATGGAGATTGTTTCAAAGCAGCTTTACAGAGATAAACATACAATTTACGGTAACAGAGATTGTTTTGGCTTTATAGCGATTTTTGAATAATGTTATTTCCAGCTAAAGTTGGTTTTGATTGATTCACTTCCAGCAAAATTATCATTTGTTATTACATTAGGGGCCACTAAGACGACGGCGTTCTCTCTAAACAGACTTTAAACGCGAACCTGTGACCTGATGGCGCTCACATGCGCATTAAAAATTGATTCTATAGTTATATTCGTTTGAATATGTGTGCGCAGGTTTGGTCCACCAAAAGATATTCTACTGACTGTAAGTAACTTGCCAACTACAAGTCAACTTATTCTACTAACTCGAACCGTAACACCTAACCATAACCTAGCACTCTACTGACAGTCTACTACAGTCGACATACTCTAATGAGAGTTAGTGGACATGTAGTTGCAAAGTTACTTATAGTTAGTAGAATGTCTAAAGTGGACTATCGAGATAAAGTGGAACCAATGCAATGAAAAGAAATACAATATTTTTAGCCGCCGGCTACAGCGAACCGTGTGGCCATTGTGGAGCATTCATCATAGCCTATGTGGCGTTTATGTTCATTCTTGGGATGCTTTCCAGCTGCATTGATGCATTTTTTATTAGTGAATGTCATTTATATCCTCATGTCAAAATAAAATGTGTCCACACTTGTCTTGAGAAGAGATATTGATGAGAGGATATAGTTCATTGTGCCTCTTTATATACACCACCTTCCATATGTAGACATTCAATTTACAGTTCCTCGTGATCTATGTATGAATTTCATAACAAAAGTAAACATTTTTGAAGAAACTGAAATATGACATTAGATTTGTTTAGATTTTCACTGTCATAACTGAAAATCATTAGCTTCAAGTGCAATTTTAAAGTTACCCACAGTTTCATTTCCCAACAATACATATAAGGTCTGTCTGTAGTATGTACCAATTAGTAAATTGTTTCTGAAAATGCAAAAAGTTATATAAAGTTTTATAGGAAAGGGAGATAAATGTATCACTATACTACAAAATTCCCCATACTTCCATTTGAATTATTTTGTAGTTAAAATGTTTAATTATTATTAAAAAATGTGAAACATAGTAACAATAAAGAATGTGTAAATGTATCCAAATATTTCACTGGTAGTGTACGTCACAGAAATTCACAAAATAACCTTTTTTCCAATTTAAAGGCACAATGATGTGCCTTGAAACCTTTCTTTTACTGTCTATGCTTGAAACGCGCAGCATGATTCTGTTTTGACGTCACTTCCACTGAAACAGGAAGACAGGGCGGGACTTATCAATCAGCTCCTCCCCTTTTTAAAATAGCCGATAGCGTTACGTTTATATCACAGCTCGACCAGAGCCGTTGAGCTCGGAAAAGCCAGTTTCCTCCTAATCTCGAACCATTTCTCCTTCTCATCGCTTTAAAGTATCATTCTGTGCAGAATTCAAATGAGTCGGATACGTTTTCTGTTCTGCAGCGACTCGATCATATGATCCGCTCTGTGTATCGTGTCTCTGGACCAGAGCTGGAGTAGTTCACGTGACACTAAAGTGAAACCAGACTTCATTCGCCCCAATGGAAAGCATATTTACACTGTCTGAACCGTTCCCTATCCCCTATATAGTGCACACTATATGCGGGAGAGCACAATCGCTTTGGAGAGCTGATGTGATGTACTTCCCCTGCTGACGATCTTCTGATTTGGACTTTTTGATTATGTTTTGGTTATGTTTGGTTGAACTGACATCTCTTGAGCTTTTCCACGTACAAATACATGCTGACACACTAACTAACATTTATACTGATCCCTTGACACCACATGTTAATTACTTTATGTAAATAAATCTTATGGTTTACGCAGCGATTGTGTGGCGTTTGCGATCTTTTGTTGCGATCTTTAAGAAGAATCGTAACACAAGTGACTGATTTCAGCTTCAGCATCTATTCCTAATGTAGGGGGCGGAGCTTCAGATTCTAGAGAGCATTTGATTGGACAGAATATCAGATGAGAATTTGAAGTGCAGAGTTATGTCATCAAAATCATTGATCCATATTGGCGGAGGTTTTAAGTATATTCATACTTAAAGCCAAAAAACTTTTATTTTGATTTAATGGGAACTTTAAATAACCTTTTGTGAAATGTAAAGTTTCCACGGATGTTAAAGGTTCTTTATGGAACCATCGATGCCAATAAAGAAACTTTATTTTTAAGAGTGCAATATTGTAACTTATTTTGTTTGAAGGAGTAAGAGCATATGTTGTAAGAACATATAAAAACAGATGTTACAATTATGTGTTCTTTACAGCCTACATTCTTTGGCTTGAAGCTAACAGACCTACAAAACATTTTTTTTAAAAAGAGAGAGTTTGACACGGTACCAAAGATGAAGTTGTCTGGTCGAAAAAGCTGTCCAAACGCCCCAGAACGAACACTGTCCATAGTTCCAGGCTCCAGGTCCACCAGCACGGATCTGGGAACATACTTGTGAGCTAAACACACACACACACACACACACACACACATGGCTATAAATCCTGTTTGCTGTAAAAGATATGCTGTGAAACTTTATCACTAAAACAGATGATAAATGAATTAAATGATTATAAATTAATTGATAAAACATTGCACATTTTGCAAATAAATTCATATTTGTTTTATTAATTTATGTAAATCCTTTAATAAAACATTATGCTAGTGCAGTCAGAGCAGCCCAGGAAATTCCTCTGAGCTGACTACACTGTTCAAAGTTTAAGGTCATTGTGAGTTTGTGAGGGGGAGCAACAAGAGCACCGATTCATCCTCGCACACTGATGCACATACTTACAGGACGCCTCGTTGTAGTACACATTAATTCTGTCAAGCTGCAGCCCTGAATCACCCACATAGTTGCCGGCTGGGTCAATGCCATGCTCGTCGCTGATGACTTCCCAGAACTAGATGTGACAGTTGTTTTGCGTTAGTTCAGATATGATTTCAAAGCACGAGATTCTTTGAGTGTTGAGATTCTTTGCATACTCGCGCACAGTAGGACACATCTTGCCACGCCCAGGGCAACTGATGTGCCCTTAAAATATAACAGCTTGAGGCCTACCATGACTCAAGCATTGATCACATTTAAGTAGGCCTACACTAAATATGACCAAACCACACATTGACTAACTGTAATCAGCTGTAGAGAGAGAGGTGTACTGTAGATTCCAGATGCGAATCATTTTAACAGGTTGTAAACAGTTTAGTTTGGAAAAGTTTTTAGTGAGAAATACCCTAGAAAAAGAAATTCATGAAAAATAACCGGATCTTAAAGGGATAGTTCACGTTTTGATTCACTGAAAAGTATCGGATCATACGAGTCATTTGTTTAAGAATCGAACTTGTTTGCACTGCAGCTGTTTTGCATTCAAATGTCTGTAATCAGTGTTGCGCTGAAAAACTCTATTTGAGAACTGTCATGACGGAAAATCATCAGCTTCAGGTACTTTTTTAAAGTTTCCCTAAAAAAAGTTTGTCCATATGAAGAAAAAAAAAGTTTCAGTTTCCATATGAAATCTGTATTAATCAGTAGCCTAAATTGTTTTTGAAAGTGCACAATATAGTTTAAAACCGACACAGTGTGATAGGAAAATAAAATACATTTGACTAACCTTTGTTCCAATCTGATTGCCGCACTGTCCGGCTTGAATGTGAACGATTTCCCTCATTGTTGTAGTTGTGTTGTGTGAAGATGCTCCTCGGAATCTGAGCTCTGCTCGACTGCAGGGTGACTGTGAGTTCACTGACACACACGAGCTTCAGCTTTCACACGATTGGTCGGAATTTGATTGACACATCAGCTGCACAATCACACAAGTGTGCTGTCATTGCTCTCTTCTAGTCACAAATTATGCCATGCGTTGCAAAATAACATATCAGGCTACAATACAATACATATCAATATGTTCAGAGTAACTCGTATTTCAAAAGAAAGTCTAGACTTATTATAGGCTACACTCTAAAAAATCCAGGGTTGTTTTAACCCAAATTTGGGTCAAATATGGACGAACCCAGTCGTTGGGTTACATTTTTTAATTCGATTTTTAACCCAACAGGTGGGTTTGTTCATATTTGACCCAAATTTGGGTTAAAACAACCCTGCATTTTTTGTCTTTTCCGAGCAGTCTCTTTACGACAACATCTTGATATGTATCACAAGTCTACCTGAATCATGACGATAATCTGCTGCCCCTTCCATTATTGCCTTTTTTAGATACCTGATGCATGTCCTCAAAAAATACATTTGAGGCATATGTTACACAATAAGTGTGTAGTCCTGACAAAATCAACCTATAATCTGGTCACCCAGAAACACAAATCGGGGAAGAAGGGTAACTTTCAAGTTTCATTTTGATGAATCAGATAAAGTCTTTTTAAAATGCAGTCACAAAACAAGTTCAACTGGAGATCATTTTTCAGCACAAGCCTGATAAAAGATGACAATAATAAGTTGTCCTTTATAGTTCACTATTATTTTATTCACAGATTCACACACATTTAATGTTATCACCCTCGAAATAAGCAGTTCTTCCATGTAAACCATGATATTTTCCAACCATATAAAATACTGATGTTTGTCTAAGCATGTAAGCAAAAACTAAACATAAGTGCAGTATTCATTATTTGTCCCACTATCTGATGTGACGTTTAGCTACAGCATTCCTCTTCCCCAATATACCGCAACACATACGAGGATCCGCACAGGAGAACCTGACCCGTCAGTTTGGCCACGTACATGAAACATCGCAGTAAAGACCTGAAGAAGGAAAAAGGGAGTAATATTAATATAAATGGTCACTTTCAGACAGACTTTTTAGTCCTAGACTTCATAACAACAAGGTAGAATTTTGCCCCATGGTAATCAGATTGTTCTTAGAAGTAGCTACAACATTTTTAATGGTAAAAGTTTTGTATTACAGTAGATGATAAAACGATAGAATCATGTTCACTAGTAATGTCCGACTTTTGGATCCAACTGTATGTGTCAAGAAAATTATTTATAATTAAAGTCACCTGCATCAAATCAAAATTAACAATTCTTATTTTTAAATGGAATATTGCAGTAGGCTATATGATTTATCTTAACACATTATTTTTCTAAATTCACATGCCTCGAAATCTTGAATCAAAATACCTTCCCCTCCCTCTTGCAGCTTCTCTTCTCTGATGACGAGGGCGGAGCAACCTGTCACTCACATGAGATTCACCAATAGCAAACCACAACCATCCAATCAATTCCCAATGGACAAAATCAAGCCCCGCCCTACATCTGTTCTTGTTCCAGAAGCCGTTTTACTCGGATATACGTCACAATAGGGAAGAAAATACTGTCGCAACTTCTGTTTCATGCTGACTTTAAGATTGCAGATTTAAATTCTGGCATTAGGAAATTCATTGTGTGTGTGTGTGTCTCTCTTACATCAGAAAGTACTTGGCTCTGGTACACTTGACGTCATATGAGAGTGAGTATATGTCATAGAGTGTGGCTTTAACAGTGAGACAGCCCAGAAAATCCTTTGGGTTCAGCTTGTACAGGTCAAAGCTCAATTTGGCAATTCCACTTCTTCTCGGCTGTCGGAAACTTGGCATAACCTGGGAAATATGAATTGAGGGCAAAACAAATAGGTTGTGAGACAAAATCACTGACTGAAAGCAGTTACGGCATCGTACAAGCCTGCGCTCTAGTGGAACAAAAACACAAAGATGGGATAACTAAAATAACTCTTTCAATAATGAAATTAATACTCTTTAAATAACAAATGCTGAAGATCATTTTAAATCTTCTTGTTAAAAACATAAAACTGATAAATGAACTGCTGCAAATGAAGCAACACTTGGGATCTGGTTAATCCGGCTTTAGGGAACGCAATCCTGATCCTGATTAGACCTAGTTTCAAATCTGTTTTCATTGTTTGCTTAAGCAAAAAAAAAAAAAAAAAAGGCAAATGTCTTGTAAAGTATGCAGTAAAGAAAAAATATCCTGTTATATTTACTGTAAGAACTGTCAGATGTGGTTTGCAAAAAAATCTCTCTAAAAAAAGTATGGTAACAATTTTTCAGGCATGGCATTTTGGTCACAATATATTTTAAAATGCACACACAGTATTACAGATATGCTGTATACAGAAAAATTATAATTCATCAAAATTATAGCTTTTTCATGAAACGTGGCATAATTAATAACTTCATAACAAAAATAAGAAATAAGTAGAAATTTAAATAGAAATAAAATCAAATGTTATGTGTAACATATCACTTCTGGGACCATCATTTTACTGTTTATTAATGCAAAACAGGGATTCCCAAACTCTGAATCCCTTCACTTTAAACTTTAAATATAATATTTACTTGATATTTACTTGACCCCTGAGTTTTTAAGTTATTATTTTAATAATTTAACAACACATTTGCATGTTCACGGTTCTGTGATGTCGGTTAATGTCAGGCAGGTAAATATTTTTATTTTTGTGATTTTCTTTTAATTTATTCATTTAATTTTAAACATTTTTATTATTTTATTTATCCCTGGTTTATATGAAAAACTATTCATATATATATAAAAAAAACATTTTAGTGTAAAAGTAGTGTCTTGTTGAATATACAGTAAGGCAGATTTGCACTGTATTTTGTAATTTATACTTTTTACTTCCCCAATGTTTTTAATAATATTTTACAGTGAAAATGACACTTTTTGTCAATTCACTTACAGTTAACCAATAACAGATTTTGTTCAGTTAAAATGATAAATATATGTAACTGCTATACCAGTTTGCTAGGGGTCCAAACTTCCCCTTTCTCCAGGACCATGAATGGAGTGTTAGTTGGCAGAGACTGGAAAAAAGCCTCGGAGTCGACCACTGTCCCATCATCCTCCAGCACCAGTGTGAGCAACTGACACGTCATCATGAAAGAACTGGCCACCTGCAGAGAGAGAGGGAGAGAGAGAGAGATGAGAGAGAGAGAGAGAGAGAGAGAGAGAGAGAGAGAGAGAGAGAGAGAGAGAGAGAGAGAGAGAGAGAGAGAGAGAGTGAGAGAGAGAGAGAGAGAGAGAGAGAGAGAGAGAGAGAGAGAGAGAGAGAGAGAGAGAGAGAGAGAGAGAGAGAGAGAGAGAGAGGTGCCAATATTAGTATATATACAGTATCTCCAATAAGATCTGATTGTAGACAGAATGATGTTATCATGCAGGCTTGCTGGTGACCAGGTCTTATGCTTCAATCAAAGTATTATTAAGTATTACTAAAACCTTTTCACATTTGAAAAATAAATAAATAATAATAATTAAAACTTTTTTTCTCGAAACTGCAAGTTTACATCTCGCAATTGTAATTTTTTTAACTCAGAATTGCAAGATATAAATATATATAAGATATAAACTGCAATAAAAGCAATTATGAGAAAATGTCAGAATTGTGAGTTGACTTCGCAATTTCGAGTTTATATCTATATTATATAAAAAGAGTAAGAATCGTAAGATATAAATTCGCAATTTAAACTTTTCTTTCTGTTTTTGCAAAAGGCTACATTTCAGATATCATGTCTCTATCCCCCCCCCCCCCCCCCCCCCCCCCTTAAAATATAGTTTTTTTTAGGGTAAACCTCCTGCTGCAACTTTTTTATCCCACAATTTTGACTTTTTTTCTTGCAAATACCGAGTTTCTAACTCTAAACTCGCTAAACTCGTCTGAATAGTAAAATAACAGGTGAAACTCAAAAAATTTGAATATAGTGCAAAAGTTCATTTATTTCAGTAATTCAACTTAAAAGGTGAAACTAATTTATTATATAGACTCATTACATGCAAAGTGAGATATTTCAAGCCTTCATTTGTTATAATTTTGATGATTATGGCGTACAGCTTATGAAAACCTTTTCACAATATTCTAATTTTGAATTTGGGGTTTTCATAAGGTGTAAGCCATAATCATCAAAATTATAACAAATAAAGGCTTGAAATATCTCAATTTGCATATAATGAGTCTATATAATATATTAGTTTCACCTTTTATAAATGAACTTTTTTCACTTTTGATATTCTAATTTTTCGAGTTTCAGCTGTAAGTCACCCCCCCCCCCCCTCCTCCTCAGGATTGCAAGAAAAAAAAAAGAATTTTGAGATAAAAAGATTAATGAAATTTAAAAACAGTTATTCACAATATTACTGTATTAAATGGAGGTGGAGCTTGAGCAGAAGCGACTGCTGTATACTCTGACCTGCTGCCTGAGGTCTCCTAGAGAGGTGCTCGTGAAGCCTGTCCTCCGGCGCCGGTTCTGCGAGCACACCCTGTACGGACGGGCCTGAGGAGGAGGCAGCATCCGCTGGGCAAGAGACGCCATCGACGACACAGACCTGGGGAGGTTTACAGTCAGATCAGACACTTTAAATATAACCCAGAGTTTGGGGTATAGAAATAATTGTCATAACTTCAGGACTAGACATGCAACCTCAGGACAGTCTATAGTTTCTGGACTCAGACTGCATGGCTACAGCTTGTCTGAATACCAGAAATAACAGCTTTCGGTGAGGATTAACGGACATTAGTGACATAATTTGCATTGACCCAACAGTTTGGTTTGTTAGAGTGAGATATGGTTATATAAACAGGAAATTAAATGTTTACCGTCTGTTATTGTGCCAGTAATGCAATGCTTGACAAAAACACAGCAGATAATAGTAGGACAGATCACG